CGGCGGGAAGAGGAAGCCCTACCACAAGAAGAGGAAGTATGAGCTGGGGCGACCGCCGGCCAACACCAAGGTGGGGCTCAGGCCGCGGGCGTCCGTCCCCCCGGCTTCTCTTGAGCCCGCGGGGCACCGGCATCCTGCCAGAGAGGGGTAGAGGCAAGTGGAGTGATGAGAGCTCGGCCTTAGGCTGGCGCTCGGGACCGTTCTGGTCCCTCGCGCGGCGCCAGCCGATGCTAGGGGTTGTCATAGTTACACTGACCACGCTGCCGGGCGCCTGGAGCCGGCCGCCTGGGTCCCGTCCCGTCCCGTCCGGCTTCTCAAGCACGCGCCGTTTCTCTCCCCGCAGATCGGCCCGCGCCGAATTCACACCGTGAGGGTTCGTGGCGGGAACAAGAAGTACCGCGCTCTGCGGCTGGATGTCGGCAACTTCTCCTGGGGATCCGAATGTGAGTGCCGGCCGGGGGACACCTGGCGCGGTTTCGAAGCGGCGCGGTTTCTAAGCAGCCGGGCTTCCCCTCGCTGTGCTGGGCTCTGAGCGTGGCGCGGGGTAGGGGTCTGCCAGGGGGCTCTGTGGCACGTGAAGAATGATGAGAGCTTTGACCTTAAGTGGGCTTTGAAGGAGGCTCCGATGCCTCCGGGAAGCTTGCGATGACTGGAGTGTCATAGTTACACTGAGCACGTTGCTCACGGAAGCCCCGGGAGGGGGGCAGAGAGGAGCCTGTTAGCACGGAGGGCTTCCCTTCGGACCAGATCCGTTTATAGGAATGTCAGCAGGGCCACGCTGGGTCAGACCAGTGGCCAGCCGGCCCAGTTTCCTGCTTCGGACGGTGGCAGAAGTAGGTGATTTAGAGAGGAAGAGAGCGTTGAACTGGGTATCTCGAGAGCAGTCTGTCATCGTTCAGGATCCTCCACGTCATCCAGTGCCATTGGTTTAGAGATGCCAGAGGATACGTCTCCAACTCCTTAACCCCCACCCCACAGCATATGCAGGCCTGAAGGCAGGGCAGGGCAGAGCAGCTCAGGAGAGAGCAGGAAGGGGGCAAGGGATCTTGGTGAGAAGTGATTTGCCTGGGGTGGGATCTGGAGAAGGGTGTTGGGCAGGGAGGGGTGTGTGAAGGGAGGGGGGGGGCTGGCAGAGCTCATTCATAGTCTCATAGTTGAGGGCTGGAAGGGACCTTGCAGATCACCGATTCGTCTGCAGCCATCAGTGTTGGCGTCCGACTGTCCTTGTATGGATCTGGGGATCCTTGGGCCTGGCTGAGCCCTCTGGAGAAACCGAGCGCGCTCAGCGCAGGCTGGCAGTAACTGACAGAAGGCTGGTTGGTGTCTCCGGGGGTGTCTGTGCAGTGACACCCACCACCCTTCCTGTCTTCCTTGCTGAGCACAGGCTGCAGGGTGGGTGAGACATGCAGAGGGGAAGGAGCGTGCTCGCCGCTGCCCGTGAGGGATAAACGGGGCTTGGTTCCCAGGGCTGGCCAGCCGCTCTTCTGCTAACTCAGATTGCTGAGGCTGGAGGTTTTGCCCCATTGCTGAGCAGCTCATGCTTTCTAGAAGCTCGTGGAGGATGGGAAGCCAGACCTGGCCCCATCTCATGGCTACCTAGGCCTGGGTTATTCATGCAGGAAGAACAGCTGTAGCTGCTTAGCCAGCCCTGTTTTCTGTAGGGGGATTGAGTTGCTCCTGGTAGGAAGCAGTTACAAAACTGGGCCCTCCCTTTCTAAACCTGCCCTTGCCTTTCTTTGCTGAATTGTAGAAAGGCAGGTCCTTAGGGAGGTGGCATCTAGTCTAGCCCCCAGCTCAAGGCAGGACCAGCCCAGTTTAAACCCGCCCCGGACAAGGGTTTGAAAAGACTTCCATGTCAGAATGGCTGTACGTGAGACCGGATGATTTGAAGCTACTACTTGAGACCCTTCTAGGATTTACCCTGCTCTTTTTATAAAGCACAAACTCTTTTGAGTTCATAGAACCACAGCAAAAGAGGGTGGAAGGGAGCTCAGGAGGTCACATCTGGTCCAACCCCTGCTCCAAGCAGGACCAGCCCCAACTACATCATCCCAGACGAGGCTTCGTCTACCCAGGCCTTAAAACCCTCCAAGGATGGGAGGTTCCACCACCTCTCTGGGTAACCTGCTCCAGTGCTTCATTACCCTCCTCATTAGAAATCACCCCAGGGTGACCAAGTATAAACTGCCGAGCTGTAGGGCCGATGGAGGTTGAGCATGGGGGGTGGTAGGCAGCCTGCTGGGTGCTAATGGGGCTTTGCTGTCCTTATTTGCTCCGGATTCTGATGAGCTCCCTCCTTTGAAAGGCTGCACCCGCAAGACCAGAATCATCGACGTGGTCTACAACGCCTCCAACAATGAGCTGGTCCGGACCAAGACCCTGGTGAAGAACTGCATCGTTCTCATCGACAGCACCCCGTACCGGCAGTGGTATGAAGCTCACTACGCCTTGCCCCTGGGTCGCAAGAAGGGCGCCAAGCTGGTATGTATTGGGCTGGGGGCTTCGTGCCGGGGCTGGCTGACTTGGGCCCCTTGTTGGGAGCCAGCACAGGGTTCCTGCCTTGCCAGCTGCTACGTGAAAAACCTTTAGTCAGACGTGCCCTTGGTTGGTTGTCCTCGGCAGTTTGAGAGGGGCCTGCCAAAGCCATGCTTTTTCATGAAGCCCAGTACTCGTCCCTGCTAGGCTGGGCTTTGTGAGGGGCCTGCCCCTTTGCTCTCAGGTCTTCTGATGATGATACCTTTGTCCAGTTCTGCTGCTGAAGGGACAGCGATGACAACTTACAAAGCTGAAGACGACCTGGCAGGCAGTGGGGCAGGTGCTCGCACCTGGGAGCAGCAGGTGCCACGAGCACATTCCCTTGGGTGGTTGCTTCAGTGTTTAGGCACTTGGTTCTGGCCCTTTGAAGGTATTTGGGTGCTCAGCTCGCCTGGGATTCACTGGTTGCTTGGTGTCGAGATACCTTTGAGAATCTAAGCCCTAGGTCCTACATGCCAGCTTTGTCTCTGTTGATTGCCAGATGGATCCAGGGTACGTGGGGAACCACGGGTCTGCTTGTTTATGGGGCAGGCAGTAACTCGGTTTCCATTAGGGCATATCCTCTGGAACCTATTACATCTTATTGAATAACTGGACCAGCCAGAAAAAGGGGGGTGGCTTGAGGATGTCTTTCACTGGACCAGCTGTCTAGTTCGGAGAGATGTCAGGCAAGCTTTCAGGCACATGGGACTTTTCATACCCAGAAGCTTGTCTGACATCTCTCTCACCTGTGCAGTTGGCCCAATAAAAGACAGCCAAAAAGCCATTTTTCTTGCCTGTTAACTGCCTTGTCACAGCAACAGTGCTCCAACCCTGCTTTAGCAGAGCCCTGTGGTTGGTTCCATGCATCTAGCATGCGACAAGGCAGCAGTGGATGGAAAACAGGCCTTTCCACACTGTACTTGTATGGCCACGAACACCTCTGCAGCTTGTATTCTCCCAGGTTCGCCAGCTGGCACTAGCAGTGCACCATGAGTTGTATCCTTGCACTTTCTAGTGTGCATGTGTCTGACAGTTGCATGCTGTTCTCTGAACGCATGCTGCTGCCTGCGAAGCAGAGACTTGGACTCCTAGAGAAGTGGGGCTGGAAGGGATCTGCAGAGGTCATATGCCCTGCCTGGGGCAGGATCAGCCGTATCCAAACCATCCCAGACAAATCTAGCTAGGATCCTCCAGGTTTTAAGTCCCAGCAGGAGGGCACAGCCCAGGCATTAGACCAGGGATTCTTAACCAGAGTGCCGTGGCGCCCATGGGTACCACCAGATCCTTTGAAAAGCTGCTGTGAGATGACAAGGGAGGTGTGGGCAGAGAAGCACTGGAAGGAGGACAGCTGGGCCTTAGCGTAGCCCATCCTCAGTCCTTTGGTGGTCTTGTTGCAGACACCCGAGGAGGAGGAGATCTTGAACAAGAAGCGCTCCAAGAAGATCCAGAAGAAATATGATGAACGGAAAAAGAATGCCAAGATCAGCACCCTCCTCGAGGAGCAGTTTCAGCAGGGCAAGCTGCTTGGTGAGTGCCCAGGGGGAAGAAGGGAGTCAAAGTTGGACCTTGTCCGTGTTGCTCTTTTGTGAGTTTTGTCTGATTCAGCTGGAGTGGGGGACTTGGGTAGTTGTGGGGATGGGGGTCAGGGCTGCGTCTGTGGAGTCCATGTTCAGTGGGTGTTGCCAACAGCTGTCGGGGCCCTGGAGGGAGGAGAGAGACCTCCCGTGGAGACCTGACCGTGCCAGCCTGGGCTGAGTCCTTACAGGCCAGTCGGAGCTGAGCGGGCAGCAGACACTCCACCTCTGGGGTTTGCCAGAGCTGCAGGAGTCTCCTCCACTCACCGGCTGCCTCTGCATGGGGGCTTGGTGCTGAGGTCTTCCAGTGACGAGAGCTTTATCCAGTTCTGCTGCTGAGCTCGAGCGATGACATTGACAATCTGAGGACGACCTCACCGGGGAATCTCCCCATGCCGTGTTCCCACCAGGGCACCTGTTGGCAGTCGCGTGTGATCCTAGAGTGCTGCCTGTTGAAGCTTTCAGTTTCAGTGCCCGTTGCTGCTCCGTGCATCAGGCGGCCGGCGCCCGGGCCAGGGGAAGCCCCTCCTGGCTGGATGTACGCTGGGATAGTGTCTGCTTCCCCCGCCTAATGCCTGCCTTCTCGTTGCAGCCTGCATCGCCTCCAGACCGGGACAGTGTGGCCGGGCGGATGGCTATATTCTGGAAGGCAAGGAGCTGGAGTTCTACCTGAGGAAGATCAAGGCCAGGAAAGGCAAATAGATGTCAAATACTGACTGGAGAGAGAGAATAAATGCACCCCAAGTCCTTTTGTAAGCGGCCCTGTGCTTTGTTGGGACGCGGTACAAGTCCCTGTCTCCCATCAGCCCTTTGTGGGAAAGGGCAGGGCTCAGGGAAATGCTGAACTGTTGTTTTTTAGACGTGTCCCCTCCCTCCCGGGTCTTCCAGCTGCTGTCAGTGCAGTTGTTTTGCAGCCTCGGTACACACTGACAGTGCGGCCACGCACGCAGCAGGTGGCACTGGTGGGGTGTGGGCACAGCTAGCCCAGAACAGACCCCTGGCGTGTCTGGCTCGTGTGGCTCCTGTGGCAGGGCTCCTAGCCCAAGACTGGTCTGGGCCAGGGAAGGCTCTCTGGAGGATGTGGGGTTGGACTGGGCATCTTGAATGTGCACGAGGAGCTGTGGGCAAGTTGAGGAAAGCGAACCCATGCCCTAAACAAGTTCAGCCCGGCAGCAGGGGCGCGGACGGCCTGGCCGGCTCCTTCCACTGAGCTAGGCAGCCTTTACTGCCACACGGCGTAAGGAGATGAGTTGCATGCTGCTTTGTCTGTGGCTCTAAGCTGCCTTGGTGTCCTGTGGCTTGCTGCTGCCCTCCTCTGTCCAAGACGCGCACACCTAATAATAATTTGCAGCAGCTGCAGCGTTCACGTGGTTGGGTTAGCTGGTTCCTGCTTACTTTGCAAGAGCCCTCAGTGTGTGGGGGGAGCCCCGGCCCTGCTGCCTGCACTGTCAAGTGACTGGTTGGTCTCTCCTTGGCCTCCCAAGTCTCATTCCAGTGCGAGATTAACTCCCTCCTAGCAGAAGGGCTGGGCCTCTGGTGGCTCTGTCCCTTTCGAAGGGAGGGTACAAACCTCCGTTTCCCAGCACTTCCCCAGGCTGCGGCGCTGCTGTGGAAGTATCCCCGCGTGGCTGTTAGCAGGGGACGGTGCTGACTTACTTCTAGAGGAGCTCCAGCTGAGAGGGGGGTGCTTATACACAGTCTCATGAAATATTTGTCTGTACCTGCAAGAAGCTGCTCCCATTCAGATAGCTCCCCCATGGGTCCTGCAGCCGCCCATGCTGTGTGCCGGGCTGGGCTACCCGCCTGCACATGCCTGGGAGAAACTGGTGCCAGTGCTTTTTGCTTTTTAGCTGAAACACTTTGCCACCTTTGCCCTGCGGTGGCTGTGCCTCGAGGGCCCCGTGCTCTTCTGCTGCTGAGAGCCGTCTGTGCCCAACTGCTGTTAAGTGTGGTTAGGAAAGTCCCGGTTCCTCTGCATGCAGCCTGGGGCCAGAGGGAGCAGACTGCCTAGTCATGATGCCAGTGACTGGGCTTTGAAGGGAAAACAGCATAGCCCTTGCCAGGCCTTTCCACACACGTCCGGCTGCAGGAGAGCGGTGCAACTGCAGCACCAAGCACTGCTCTAGGCAGGAGGGGTGTTCTAACCCTCCTCCCCCTCCAGACCGCAGCCCCAGCAGGGTCGAGCCCCAGAACAGCATTTTAAAAGGGGCTGGTTGAGACACCACGCTGCAGCCTTTCCCCCACCTGTTCTCTGAGATGGGGGTAGCAGGGTGGGACTGCTGAGTGAGTTCATGAGACGGAGCCCTGTGGTTCTGAAACCTCCATACCCGTCATGAAGTCAGTTAGAGCTGGGGTGCTTTGCCCCCAGCCTGCAGAGCTGTGCCATCCAGCCCACCCGGCTCCCCCCAGCTCTGGAAACTTAGCAGGGCGGGCAGCACTAATTGCTGCTCCCCTGCTGCCGGGTTTCAGGGCCCGGAGAGCGCTGGGGCCTGGATGCTAGACAGGGCACAGTGCGGCCAAGCCAGACACACAGTGGAGATGGCACACGGCATGATTTCTTTCCCACCCGCCCCCAACGGCATGGAGAGGATGAGCCCCGCTGACTTACAGACTTCATTTTTCCTTGAATAAATGCAGGTGTGTGCCCACCTTGAACCAGCAACAGGTGTATGTGTGTGCACGTGCATGCATGTGCATGCTCTGGACACTTGTCCAGCCCAGTGGAGAAGAGAAGAGCAAAGTGCATGATCTCAATGCTCTGTTACCAGGGCAGGGGTGTGGGGATGCCAGCGCACACGGCTTTCCCAGGCTCCTGCCATGCGTGTGCTGTCACCCACGCCGTGGGAACCGGCCGTGTACCACTACTAGCGCAGCCTGATACAGCGCCATAAATCCACACGCAGCTCTCCCTGTGACACCTTTGCCTGGCTATGGAGGAAGTGTTTTATCTGGCCAGCCTCAGGTGTGTTAAATGGATAAGCCAACACGGCCTTGGAGCGTTTACCACCTTTGCAAAACCCCATCTGTTGTATGTAGGAGCATCTAGGCTCCTGGGTGTTGCCTGCTGCCCTAATTACAGTGGTGGTGGTATCCCAGTCTGCCCTGGAGGTTCCCTGACCTAGCTGTTGGCATCAACACGCGGCCTATGTTGTGCCCACACCTCCCCTTGCAAATCACACGTGTGATGTAAACGAAAGTGGGGCTGGCGCCTTGCTGGGCTGCGGAGAAGTCCGCGGAGCATCTGGGAGCCTGCTCCTAGTCCCAGCGGCGCAGGCGATGTTCTGGTTTCAGTCCCCAGTTCACTCGTGCCCCACACCAGTGCCCTGTGCCCAGGCCTTTATTGGAAATTAGTTGCAAGGGTGACAAAGCAGAGGGTAGAGTCTAGTAGGGGGCACAGAGCAGTGGGGGAGCGTGGCTAATCCAGGGCCTTGCTGACAGCTCGGGGCAGCTCTGAGCTGGGCCAGGCCTGGGTCTGTTTGGCGCAGACGGTGCCCCGAGCATCGCACCTCTAACAGGCAAAGGAGGGAGCCACGGCCTGCACCCACCGCGGGACGTTTCTGTGCCCCTTGCTTTGCCGCCTGGTCCCCTGCAGACCCAGGCCTGGGACCGGTATCTGGCTAACACGTAGCCCCCTCGGAGATGAGCGCGTCCCCACCGTGCAGCTCCGAGCACCCCAGCCCCAGGCAGGGTTGTATGGGGCATTCGATGCCCGGCTGTGCTGGGAGCCAGGCGCGTGCTTCAGCCTAGCTCGGGCCCAGGCTGCGGCTCTCTGGGGGCCGGAGGGGGTCCCAGGCCCCTGCTCTAGGCCGCCGAGGAGTCGGGGCTGGAGCTGTTGTCGGGGACAAGCTCCACCCGGATCTCGGGGGGCTCCAGGCGGTTGGGTGCCCGGGCGCAGGGGGCAGGGGACGCGTTGGTCTGGCTGCCCTCGTCCTCCGTCTCCTCCTCCTCGATGCGCGCCACGGCTTCGGGGTCGTCCCCGCGGGCGGTGCGGGGGGACGGGGAGCTGTCGCCCCAGCGGCGCAGCAGGTGCGGGTGTCCGGGACAAGCTCCACCCGGATCTCGGGGGGCTCCAGGCGGTTGGGTGCCCGGGCGCAGGGGGCAGGGGACGCGTTGGTCTGGCTGCCCTCGTCCTCCGTCTCCTCCTCCTCGATGCGCGCCACGGCTTCGGGGTCGTCCCCGCGGGCGGTGCGGGGGGACGGGGAGCTGTCGCCCCAGCGGCGCAGCAGGTGCGGGTGTCCGCGCGCCGTCTTGCCGAAGTTCTTGAGGCTGATGGGGCTACGCGGGCGAGGCCTCCACTTGCTGGCTCTGCTCCGGGTCCTCGCTCATCCTGCCGGGCCGCAGGGGTCACGCTGCAGCCAGCCTGGCCCCGGCACCCCGTGCACCAGCCTGGAGCTGGGGTGCAGCCGGGCCGTGCCCTGCTGCCAGCCTGGGACAGGGCCGTGCGACACCCCCCAGCTCCCGGGGCTACAACCGGAGCAGCACGGGTCCAGGGCAGCCTTCTTGCCCGGTCCCCAGCGCCCCGAGGCGAGCATGGAGCAGCTATGGGGTGGCTGCTACCCCTGTATCGAGCCAAGCGCCCAGCCCCGGCCCCCTCACCGCATGTCGAAGGTGGAGCCCAGGAAGGAGGGCTTCAGGGTCTCGGCGGCTGTAGCGACGGTGTAGGGGGGCAGCGCCGTGGACTCGTCCCAGTACTTGTCCTTGGCCATGGGGGGCAGGTTCTGGTACATGTCGTCCACGGAGAGCAGGGACACCTGGGCAGGGCAGGGGGCTCGCATCAAGGGATGAACCCCTCCAGGGGGGCATGGCCTGGGCCTGTCCCTCACCCAGAGATGCCCCAAATCAATAGCCCCAGCTGTGAGGGTTAGGGTTTGGCCCTGTGGCATCAAGGTGAATGGAGCCACGGTGCAGCCCGGACACCTGGGTCCTGGGCGCAGGACCGGGGGGACCCACCTGCAGGTTCCTGTCGATGAGCTTGTTGGTCTCAAAGTCGTCGTCGTCCTCCCCGAAGGGGTTGATGAGCTGCTCGGCTACCTGGGGAGGGCACAGCGCCCGCCGTCAGCCGGCTGCGAGCACCGTGGTCCGGAGCTCGGTTTGTCTGGTGTGGACAGGCCTGATCCTGCCTCCGGCAGGGCTTGCACTGGATGTGACCCCGCAGCTCCTGCCAGCCCCGCGGCTCGGGGAGTCTACGATTCTTCCCCCAGCGGCCCGTCTGTCCCCGTGGGGGACCCGCAGCCTAGCCCAGCAGCGCTGGCTGGACACGGATGGACGTGGCCGTGCCAGGGCTCAGCTCGCGGCTCCCTCCATCCTGGGCACAGCAAGTGCCTGGAGGCCCCGGGGCCCCTCCGTCCGGGCTGTAGGGGCTAGAGCAGCTGCCAACCCCTGCTGAAGCCAGCTGTGCCCAGCTGTGCCGGCGGCGCTCACCTTCAGCCAGCCGGCGTAGAAGAAGAACTGCAGCAGCGTGGGCAGGGGCACGTACATGTCCAGGGTGGATGCGGCGCTCGGCTCCAGCGGCTCCAGGAACTGCCGCCCGATGAGGCAGAAGGCGAAGAAGGAGTAGACGGCGATGGTGACCACCTGGGCGAGCCGGGCAGAGGACATTGGAGGGGTCCGGCAGGTGCCCAGACCCCTCCCCAGGCTCATCCCCCCCTGGGTCGGTGCAGAAGGGAGCTCTGGTGGAGCTAGCGGGGGAGCAGGATTGTGCCCGTGCTGCAGCCATGCCGGGGGGAGCTCGAGCTGGGCATTGCTGCCTGGACGCCTGGGTCCGTGCCCGGGGATGAGGGCCGGACGGGCCTGACCTGGGTGTACACCAGGGGGATGCTGATCCAGTCGTAGTGGAAGAGGAGGCTGCACTTAGCCCGGTACAGGTTCAACTCCTGGCAGACGGCGAGAGCAAGCAGCACTCGTGAGCGGCTGCAGCTGGGGGCAGGGGTCCAGAGCCCCCCCGCGGCCCCCGACTCACATCCAGGAGCAGGCGCAGGGCGACGTCGTCCCGCACGCGCCCGTCGCGCCGGGCCTGGGCCGCCAGGTTGGTGAACCACACGCAGGGCACCCAGTACTTGTTGAAGTCCGAGTGGAGGCTCTCGAACTTCTTGCGCTCGTCCTGCGTCATGAAGCCTGCGGCCGGAGCCACGCGGGGGTCGGAGCCCGGGGTCTGCGCCACCCCCGGCTCCGGCCCCCTCGCCGCTGGCCCTGCCAGGCCCTGGCATGGGGACGCCCCCCGTCCCCACGCCTCAGTGCCCCTTGACCAGGGACTCACTAGCCAGAGACCTCAGGGCACAAGCACAGTGCTGGGTTTGCACACGCCTTGGCACGGTGCGGCATGGAGGTGGCACAGAAGGGGTCCCTGGGCATGGAGACTCCCCTCCGGAGCAGGACACGGCGCCGTGACCAGCCCCCAGCCCCCCGCCCCCCGCATGCAGCCGCCCGTACCTGCATCCACGACGTGCTCCATGGTGGGGAAGCGCTTGAGCACGCGGGTGCTGACAGAGCGCAGGATGAGCACGGCGGACAGGTTGGCGTAGCGCACCAGCGTGCGGCGCAGCAGCCGGCCCCGCTCGTCCCGCCCGTGCACGGTGCTGGAGATGACGCACATGAGCTGGTCGGGCAGCGGGATGCTGCTGTACTGCGCCCACCACCGGTTCACGATCAGCGTCACGTAGAAGCCTGCCCGGGGCCGGCGCCGTCAGCCCCGGGGCAGCTGGTGCCCGGCAGGGGGGTAGGGAAGGACCCCTGCTCCAGGGAGGGGACTCGTGGGACAGCAGGGCTGAGGCCACTGCTGCTGGCTGGGGTGGGCAAGCCCCCGCTGGCCACGCACTGTGTCCTAGTGTAGACAGGCCTCCGGCGCCGCGGCCTGCTCACAAGCTCCCCAACACACAAGGCACCAGGGGCCGGGTCTGCCTGTGTGCCCCCATGCCCGCCGGTCCTTGGATGGCCTGAAATAGCTTTCTAAATGGCCCTGCTGCCGTCAGCCCCATGGGGCATGTGCCAGCCCCCCCGGTCTGCCCGTTTCCAGCAGCCGCCGGGTGCCGCTCAGGGCAGGGGGGGTCCTTTGTGCACTGGGAGCCTGGTCGTGGCACCGGCCTGGCGGGGCCCTGTCCTGGGTGCTGGGAAAGGGCAGGGAAGTTCCTCTTGGCCCCGGGCAGGGCAAGGCACGGGGGCCATTAAACACCTGGCAGAGATAAGGCGGCCACGTTCCCAGAGTGGGGGGAGGGCAGGGGCAGAGCACCGGGGGGGCTGCCTGGTTTCCTGCCCCTTCTCCACATACCCCCAAGCTGCTCCCCGCCAGGGCCAGGCCCCCCAAGGGCCCCTCTGCTCCCCAGGGCGACCCCCAGCTACCCCCTTGCTCACAGCCCCATGGCCTCCATCCCCCACGGGGACCAGTGCACGGCACCGCACACACACACACGTACCTGTGTTCACATGCACATACATGCACACACACAAACAGAGACACACTCACATAGACACACACAAGCACACATGCACATGTTCCCACACGTGCATACATGCACACGCAGACACGCATACGACCATGCAGACACATTCATGTACCTGTGCACAGAAACAGATGCACACAAACCCATGCACACCCATGCATCTGCATGCACACACATACACACACACGGACACACCCACACATGAACATGCAGAGACACACACACCCACAAGCACACAGACACATGTTCACACATGCACAGACACACACAGAAGCACCGACAGGCGCATGCACAGATACGTGCACCGGCACATGCAGAGAGACACATGCACAGACAGATTCACACACATGTTCACACACACACATGCACAGACACAAACACACACCAACATGCAGAGACATGCTAATGTGCAGACACACAGACAGATGTACACACATGCACGCACATGTTCACACATGCATACAAGCATACAGACACACATGCACAGAGGCACTCGTGTGCACATGCACACACAGACAGCTGTCCTGGGAGGCAGCTGCCTCTGGGGTGGAGGTGATCAAGGGAAGGCAGCAGGTTGGGGGGACTCGCAGGTGGGGTGCAGGACTCCTGGGTTCTCCGGCTGGGTGCCCCAAGGGAGGACGAGCCTGTGCCAGGGCCCGGGGCGGCAGGGGCCTTACCTAGCACGAAGGAGAGGGGGATGAGGTCCGTGGAGCGGTCACAGTACTGGGCCACCTTGGTGAACAGGTGCTTCTGCTCCTCGCTCAGCAGCCGCCTGCCGGGAGCCCGGGGAGCCGGATCAGGCCCTCGCCCGGGCGGCTGGACTGGCACAGCTCCCTCGTGCCCCCCACCCAGGAGCAGGGCCTGCCCTCCCTCCCTCCCTCCCCGGGGCCCTGGCCAGCTCTCTGCCTCTCCAAGGGCTGCTCCGCGACCGCGCTGGCTGCAAGTTTGAGAGACACACGCACGTGCAAGGCATATACGTGTGCAAGGAGCCGGCCTGCAGGCATCTCAGGTAACAACCCGCTACTGCTGGCTGGGATGGGGACGCAGCCGCTGCCCCAGCAGCCGGGGGGCTTGGGCTCACCGGTAGACGAGGCTGAGCGTGGTGTAGAGCAGGGCGAAGACCAGCAGCTCCTTGTACAGCAGCTTGTAGATGCTGCCCTTCCAGCGGAACAGCAGCTTGGAGAAGCCCCCGAAGCGGGCGTCCGCCACCTCCAGCGTGTACGACACCGTCATGGCTGCACCTGCGCACGTGGGCAGGCACACGCCGAGGCTCACACGTGTGCACGCCTGCAGCACCTCGGGCGTGCATGCTCCCCATCCGGACCCCCGTGCCCAGGCGGCTCCGTCCCCAGCAGACCGCGGCCCCGGGGACCCCCTGGGAGCTGGGTCCCTCGCACGCCTGCATGCCTGCCCCGTGCCTACCTGCCACTGGTGTCTGGGCAGCGCCCGTGCCTCCGGCTCCTTCCCTTAAGTACCCGGCGCGGGGCTCATAAACCTGAGCAGCGGGTGATGGATGGGGGCTGTCAGTGCCGGGAACAGGGAACTCAGCCCGGTCACGCCCGCCTGCTCTTCTGGGCACCCCGGGCTGGCCTGGGTGCCCCTGCCTGCTCCCCGTGCCCTCCGGGCACTGCCCGTTGCCCCCGGTCTGGAGCAAGACTCACCCCCTTAGCACCCAGCGTGGGAGAGAGCCACACCCCGGTGCATTCTGGGATTGCCTGCCAGCCTCCCCCCGCCA